AGAAGGACAGGGAACATGGTGCTGGGCTTCCACGGTTTCGAAGAAGTCCAGGTTCAGACTCGCCTCAGATGTGGATTGCGGCTGAGGGAACTGATTGGACCCTATGTTGGCCATTGTGATAGCTTTGCGAAGCAAGGGAAGAAATAAGGCCGGATTGAAAAGGCCTCCTGATGGGGAAGGGTCAGGGGGAAGCTCCTCCTCCTCTGACAAGTTGAAATCTGGCTGATCACCTCCCATCAGGGACAAGTAGCCACTGATTGAGGAATGGGCGGGAGACATGAGTTCCTGATATAGGGAATCCTCTGCTGGAGGTACATAAGGCAGAATAACAGAGGTGGAAACCTCTTGTCCGGGCGGGTGGTAAGACTGTGCCGCGAGTGCATGATCTACAACCTTAGAGAGCAGGGCCTCAAGGCGGCCATCAGAGAAAATGTCTCCGAGATCTGGCTCCCTGAACCCAGTCGCCATTGGGGTGAAGATGGCCTCAGGGACCGAGCACGAGGATTCCAGTCCTCGAACTGTGGGTGGGCTAGCAGCTGTGTTCTGAGCTGTCACTGGAGGGGAACAATGTGTGGTAGGGGCTTCCGCCAAGGACCACACACCCTGAGCAGAGGTTGAGGGGCCTAGAGGGAGGTCAAAATCAGGGCCGCCAAATGATTCGTCTCTGTTCTGGCCTGTCTCTGCGCTCTGGAGAACTCCTTCTTCAGAGCCTGGTTCCTACGGCTGGCTTGCTTCTCCGCCAACTTGGAAGGCTTTTTCAGGGGGGCCTTAATCTTGTTCTTGAGTTTGCCTGCTGCCTCCTTTTGGAGGTTTTGTGCCGGCGTAACTTGAGGACGGGGAGGCAGTGCTCATGGGCTGAGGTACCGTTGAATCCTCCATCCTGGGTTGAGCTATCTCAGGGAAACTGAGGGGGAGCTCTGGTAGGCAAGCAGTTGGCGGGAAGAGTAGTTGGAGCAGAGAATATGGACTGCTCCCCTGACCACCTGACCAGGTAAACAAGTCTCTCTGGGTGCTGGTCATGGCTATGGAAAAGAGGCCAAAGGCACGGTTGGGACCCGCTATGGGCTCCGCCCGGAGGCCTTAGGTGGACAGTCAAAGTGCACCAGAAAGCCCAATGAAGGGCGCAGAGGACCTGGGAGAAAGGCCTGGTAAGGGTAGCTGACGAGCTCAAATTGGTGGCTTTGGTAGTGGATCGTTTGAGCACCCCTGATGATGATAAAATGCCTGGTAGCCTTGAGAGGCAACGGGAGCTGATTCTATGTCTTGTACCAGTTAATTGGCTTGAGAAAGGGTAACTGCGTGGTCCAAAAAGGCTCCGCGCGCCATCGCGAGGGATCCCTGGAGAGGCCCGAAGTCTCGCTGTGGACCCTGGAGCTTTGCTACTGAATCTGCTGACTTTGTATGAAAGGCTGGGTTCAGAAAGGAAGAAAAATGCTCCCGCAAATCGAACGGTCCCTTTTGGCCTTCGTTGCCTTTCTTTTTTGGCAACTAAAATGGCGGCTGCAACTTTCTGGCCATTAAAGCGCCCATTAGAAGAGTCACGGAAGAATATTGGGATGTCTGTTAGAGCCGAGAGATCAGTGTCTCAGGACGCTGTGCAGGGAATTTACAAGAAATTAGAATTCCTCTGGCTCCAAACGGCACTGCCTGGGCTTCGTTGCCTTCGGTGGCAACCCAAAATGGTGTCTGCGACTCCCTGGCCATTAAAATGGGCCATCTGAATCCTCGAGAGGCCAGTTGAGGCTTGTTAAATTTAAGAATTGGTAGTGCAGAGCGCTGCGCGGGGACTGCGATGGGGGGGTAGATGCTGGGAAAGGAAAATAAAATGGTACCCCCCCCCTCAGCCAGGCCTCAGATCAGCCGATCTGAGGCAGCTTTGATCCCAGAGTAGGTAAAGGGGAAAGGGAAGAAATCTTTAAGATAACCTACAGACCTGAGGAAGGAAGTTGAAGAGAGGAGAATTCAGCAACGGGAAAACTATCTGCTGAAGCAAAAGTCAAACTATAGTCTCTTGAATCCTGAGAGCCAAACCTGACATGTCTTCAAGAGCTTGAGACCAAATCAAGACTGGGACTCCTAGCAACAGGGGGCGTGTCATGTTTAGCTAACTTGGTCTCAAGAGCAGGCATACAGAGAAAACCCATTGGTGGATTCTCCATCTCCTGTGCTGGAGAACCTCTATTAGCAGATCTTTTTAGAACTAAAACCAAAGAAAAACTACAAGTCTGTTGGAGGGTTGTCTTGTGCAGTCATCTAGTAAGATGATATTCAAATGAAAAGAGAAAACAGTTTGCCAGTTTCATAGATTATGTTCTCTCGTTTCTGAATGATTTTATTGTCTTATTTGGCAAATATCCTAAATTTTCATTTGAAAGCCTCAGTGCTCCTTTTAAAAGATCCATTATAAACTTGTGTTGCAAGGAATTTAAAAATAACCCTTTGCTGTAGGGCAAAAATATCTTGCTTTTTATTTGACTGAAACTTCAAGTTAATACCTCAGGGCGACAGTGAATGTATTCAGGTTTCTTGTAACAGGATTTGGGGATAAAATATCAGAAGCCCTGGATGTAGGAAGGACTGCTCACCACATTCTGAAGTAAGCAATGTAATATATAGTATCATCTAAAATGGCCTAAAGTATATCCCGGAATTTGGTACCAGTGTATTAGATTTGCCATCAATTTTTAAAGGCTGGGGCCTATTTGCTCTAAAACAGTGGCTCTCAAACTTTCTTCACCATGGACTCCCCCTTTTGTGGCTACAGACCATGACCACCGACCCCCAAGATTTAACTCAAGATTTAAATCATAAAATTTCTTCAAGCCTTCATGGACCCCCTTTGATGACATTATGGACCCCCAGTGGTCTGCAGACCCAGGTTGAGAACCACTGCTCTGGAGCATCTTCTGTTCTCAAACTGTATGCATTCTGCATATTATAAGCATTTTGTTCCAAGTCAGCAGACATAGTCAGCCCTTCTAACCCAAATCAGAATGGCCAATTAACTCTTTAAAAAAACCCATCTCCTATAATTTAAAATAATAGGAGAAACCTTGTTGTGAAGTAGTCATGCATGGAAACAACCAACTGCTTAGAATTACTAAAAGTGTTCTGCCTGTGATATTATAGCCCATTCCAGAACCAACTAAACATTTCCAAGCAAGAGTGTCTATTGAAGAGGGCAAACAAGGAATTCTTACAGGTAGTGCTCAACTTACAACCATTTGTTTAGTGACCATTCAAAGTTACAACAGTATTGAAAAGGGAATATGTGGTAATTTTTCACGCTTACAACCATTGCAGCATCCTTAATCATGTGATCAAAATTCAGACGCTTGGCATGTATTTATGGCAGCTGCAATGTCTCTGGATCATGTGAGCCTCTTTTGCAACCCTCTGACATGCAAAGTCAATGGGGAAGCCAGATTCACTTAACAACCATGTTACTAACTTAACAACTGCAGTGATTCATTAAACAATTGTGGCAAAAGAAAGGTTGTAAAATGAGACAAAAGTGACTTAACAACTTTCTTGCTTAATCATGGAAATTTTGGGCTCCATTGTGGTTTTAAATCGAGCACCACCTGTACTTGATTTATATCAGATGATGAATACAGAATTAGGGCATTTGGGTGATGTCTTTATGTACATCTTGTCATCTCAAAGCCTATTATGGCAGTGTGCCATGGATGCTGCTGTTTTCAAATCAAAATGAGTTTGCAAGCTTAAGATTCAAGAAACAGGTAGGTAGTTTGAGAGGATCTGTTGCTTGTAGTACATACAACTCCTGTAAATAATTGTGCAAGATTTGTATAACTTCCAAACCCTGCCAAACTCATTTGGCCTGAGGTGACCATAGGACAAAGGAAACTCCATTGATAATGGAAAGCAACACTTCTCAGAGCCACCTTCTATTAAGTATTTCTTTTCAAACTTATTACCTATTTCTAACCTACTGTAAATACCCCAAAATGCATTAGTTCCACATTATGCTTTAGGGCAAAAATGTCTGTGTGCAAGCATCTAGCTGTCTCAAATCAGATTAAATACCAGAGTGGCAGAACAAAGAACCAGACTGAAAGATGAATTTTTACACAGAAAATTTCTTGCCAATCCTTTCTTGAAAAAAAGGATGTAGAAATAAGATTACTCCTAAAGGTTTTATATGTTCTTATTTTGCCTGATTATGGTCATGGCTGATATAGAGAGGTAATCTGAGATCTGATCCTGGCAAACAGAGACTGCACTTCCCTCCTCGTTTACAAGTGGACTGCAAAAAGACAAAGAGAAAGCAAAGCTCTGCCATTAAGCTATTACTGCTATGGGAGGCTTGAACTGGCACATGTGCTTCAAGAACAAGTTGGGACATGCTTCTAAAATCACTGGAGAGCTCAGCTTAGTGATTGTATCATAGCAGCCAACAGCTGCAAAATGGAATTCTTGTGACTTGGAGTTCACCAGGCAATGAGGAAGTGGAGATAGGGAAAATGTAAGCAATTAAAACCGGAAACAAATTGATGTGGAGTAAGATTTTCTTTTCTTATTTTTTCCCTCCCCTTTCTCTTATCTTTCTCTTCTTCTGTTCTTAAAAGAGTGCTCAAGAAGGCTGTGTATAAAATTCTCATTCTGCATTTAAATTTAAAGAAGAGTGAATTCTCCAATGTGGAAAATCATTTTTTTTTTAAAAAAGTCAACATGTGTTTGCTTGCTGCACTATATTTTTAATAGATATGGGGAACCCTACAGTATAAAGACTTGAGCGATTAATGCTCATTTCCAAATTTCATCATTTATAAATTCATCTTTGGAGCTATGAAAAACAGTCCATTTTAGACAAATGAAAAACCCTGCATTTGGGAGAAAACTGAATGCACGTCTAACATCAATTACTGTAGGAATATACTTGGGCAAAGACTGGAGCGGACACAGACTGGCTGCCGCTATATATAAAAAAACCCTCTCATCTCTGTTATAAATATCTTACACATATTTCTCGTTACCTTCTCAGTGACTATGGGTGTGGAAGACAGTGTGAGATTTGTGGGTGATTCTGAATGCTTCTTGTGCTTCTGTTTAGGCCTTTCTTTGTCTTTTCGACTCTGTAAAAGAAGATCAAAAACACAGCTAAAGTTTTGCCTTTTCCAGCAACAGGTGAGAAAGTACAATAAGGGTAAGCTAATACAGGCGGAAGAGTGTATTATCTCAGAAATAGTTTTTGTCCTTTACCATCCATTTCAGCCTTATCTTCACTCTAGAGCAGTGTTTCCCAAACTTGACAATTTTAAGGCATGAGGACTTCAACTCCCAGAATTCCACAGCCAGCAATGCTGGCTGTGGAATTCTGGGAGTTGAAGTCCACATGCCTTAAAATTGTCAAGTTTGGGAAACACTGCTCTAGAGCATCTATATATATTACTCTCTCCTCCCTCCAGTTTTCAGCAAAGTCTGCCTTACTGTCAGAAAACCCAAAGCAATAGTAGGCTAAAAAAAAAAAAAAAAAGATGAGCAAGATATCACTGCTCACAACCCTTTGCCACCTGAGGGACTACAGATGTGACTTTTTTTATAGCCTTAATTAAATTATGCCAAAACATTCCTTTGGGCAATGCAATTTGCAAAAATCAGACAATGCTCTTAAACATGCTGAGGTTGCAGCAAATTGATTGGTTAAACTACTTGATGAAGATACTTGTCCATGCCAGTCTGTGTGAAAGAACTGATTCTCCTTGTAAGACTGTAGGATACTTCCAAATAAAGTTTGGACAAATTACATTTGTGAGGCAACCAATTTGGGGAATCAGCAATTATTTTCTATTTTTTACTTGTGGAAGACTTTCAGTTTTCCTTCTAACTATGCCCCGGTTAAAAGAAGGATTTGGTGCTGTAAATTTCAATTTCTATAATATGTCAATTCTATAATATGTCATTGCTAATTTTTATTTTTGGAAAAAGCTCAGTAGTAGAGCTTAGGCCACACATGAAGAAAGAACAGACAGATTATGTTGATGCCCTGTGCCTAAGAATTGTTCAGTCATGAAACTACATTGTTGCGCTAGTAGATAACTTAAAAGTGATCTGTTGGACGAAATACATCCTTCTTGGTTCTCTTGGATTTCCCAGGAGCGTTCAACGTGACCATCAGTCTTGTTATTCTTCTGGGCTGCCTGCAGGGTTCAGCCTTTGTTTTCTGCTCTTTTCCTGAGTGGACGATGGAGGAAGATGAGAGCCTGGCTGTTCTAAAGGTTTCTCCAGTGGAAGGTGCTACTGTAAACCGCTTAGAGAGGGCTGTAAAGCCCTATGAAGCGGTATATAAGTCTAAGTCTATTGCTATTGCTACTTCTGGACACTTTGATGGACATTTTGTGCCAGTTGTGCTCTTTCCTGGAGGCTTTGATGTTAGTGATTTACAGTATGTCACCTCTTAGTCTGCTCCACCTGGACCTACTTTTGAAAACTTACCTGAGGTAGTGACATTTGCATTAGAGATGAGATCTGATATTTTGAGAATAAGTTGTGGTTCTCTCCACCCCCCCAAAAAAGGTCACCTGTTGAGTGCGTTCCTCTAACCTCCCGTGATGGGTCCTGTTATCCCAACTTATTTTGGCTTCTATTTTCGCTTTAGGCACATGGACAGATTTCAAAACAAAGTATAGATTATAGCCCTTACCGTTTTTATTTTTAAATAATGTGCATATGTGATGAGTAGAGAAATGCAGGAAAAAAAATGTACGTTGGAGATGGGTATTTCCTTTGCAGAATGAAAAAGAATTTAAAAGGAACAAACAACCAAAGGCAAGCAGGTCAAAAACCAGGCAGGTGCCAAGAGGTGCTGTGATTCCACAGGTTTTTGAATTCAAGAAAAATTTAAAAGGGAAAAAGCACACAATTATTTTATAAACAGTATAGTCACATATCTCGTTCCCAGTATTTCCAGGTAGCCATACACAGTTCAAATCTATGCACTGAATTGTTACCACATGCAGTAGACATTGGTCCCAGTAAATATTCATAAACCTGCAACATCAAATTAGATTTGTTTAGATCAACAAAAGACTCTTTGTTTACCAGCCATTTTTTAAGTTTATGTTCTTCATTTACAATTCATATTAACATAAAATATCTTGGCTTCACTGTCTTTTTGCTATTTTTGTGTTTTAAGCTTAGATTTAAAAGACACATATCAATATTGGTCCTAATGTCCTTTTAGATGCAGTTTTAATCTCCTAGCTTAATATAGATCAATTATCAAAGATATACCACAAAAAATATAATATATGAACTATGGATGTGGTCTATCAGAGGCTAGGAAATGGTGGAAGAATAATATTAAAGATATCACTGCTGTGTATCATTATTGTATACATGGCCCACATCTATAAACTTCTTGCCAATATTAAATTCTCCTTAAATGCCAAATAGAGCATGAAAGGTGAAGTCATGTAAACTAAGAATCACAAAATAAACATGCCTAAAGAATGGATTCCTTCTCTGACAATACAAAAGTACTTATGGACTTGTCCCTTTGGATGTTAGTGGCAGTATATTACAATCAAATTGAAAAATTCACTCAGCCATTCTGATACACTCAGCAGTATTCCCTACCTCACATTTTCCCTTTTGGCTCTCAAGTACCTTGTTTTCCCTTCCTTGAGAACTCTCACTTCCCTTCAGCACACATTGCAGACACCCAGGTACCCATACAAATGTGTTTTTGCATCTGCTTTTTGCTAAACTCCTCTCCCCCCCCCCGCCAACACATATTGTCATTAGTTAGAAAATCTGAGAGGAGGAAGGGGTGCTGCCATGCTTCATGTGACTAAATAAAAGGCCACCCCTACCTTCCCGACGCTTCACACTCCTTTGCAGCAGAAATTGCCCTGGGAATGCCTGGATTTGCAAATCGCATTGGGGCTGCCAAGTTCATCTCACTGCCCAAAGTTCACCAACAAGAAGTCTCTCTCTCTCTCTCTCTCTCTCTCTCTCTCTCTCTCCCTCTGTCTGTCTGTCTGTCTCTCTAAACACTCAGTGCTGGGAGTTTCAAGCAGCTGGGGGTTGGGTGGCATTGGAGCAAGCACAGAAAAAAGCCGATAGTTAAATGAGAAGGGGAAAAAAGTAAAGCAGAGACGGGGAGGAGGAAAGGGAGCTCTCATCTGAGCACAGGAAGGCGGTGCCCACATTGCACATACTAACTTGTAGCTCTCCAACGTCAGGGTGAGTGAAATAGGAGCTCTTCAGATGCCAGCAAGGGCTTACCCCCACCTTCCATCCCCAACTCTTCTTGTAAGTCTGGGCACTGAAGGAAAAGCAGACAGCGCTGGGCAATCAGATATGTTAGTGTGCCCTGCCTGATGGGCTGCCCTTCCTTTTCTGCAAACAAGGACAAGCCTTTATCTGAATGCAGGCTCCCTCACCCTCAGCTTTGGTGAAACATGATAGCCTAGCCAGGAAAAATGTGTGTCGAGGGGTGGGTGAAAGTTGTGCAAGGAGGGGGGCAAACTGAGCACCTCTGAATCACATGCAGGGAGAGTTTTAACTAGGATTCAATGCTGGAATATTGTTCTAGAACACAATGACTTTAATTAAGGTTCAATGCTAAGTATTATTTTGGAACATAGTGATAATGTCAAAGATGGTAAAAGCTCTTAGTGTGTGCAAAAATATTCCTTTTTTAAATCTTAAATTTAAGATCACATCCCATAAATCAGTTTTCTTGGCACAGATAGGGGACCCTAAAGAAAAATGCCTCTGACATTTTGTAAACCTTACAACAACCTTATGTAGGAGGCCTTTTAGGTCTAGGAAAGTGAGGGATGCCTTAGACCAACCAAGATTTCAGAGTGTAGATGATACCGGGACAAAGAACTTCCAAACTTAGAGATTATTTTCTTGTTCAGGATGCTACATCAATAATATGGTTCAAAAGAGATGGACTGTCATACCCTTTGCATTAGACCCACTGGTTAGTTAACTTAGTTATCCTAAGTTCTGTGCAAAATGAATGAAGTTGTTTGTAGCATCACTGATGCCAATGTGTAGCCAACTGAAATACAATACAAAGGATGGGCAATCAGCTTTAAATTGTCATTGGAAATTTGAGGCTCTTCCTATGGATTCTGCCTGGTTTTTAAGATCCATAGGAGGGAGCTGCATAGTTTCACTAAGCATCATTTAGTGTGAATATTTTTCTATGCCTGCTCCCAGGCCGTAGAATGAAAGTTAGGCTAACTTCTTTTCTCTACTGACAGATAAAAAAGTCTTATTAAGGCAGGGTTTTGACGGGCAAACTGGTGTAGCTGCTCAGTTTTGTGGGTGCAATTTTGCCACACTGATTCCTTCTTAGGGTTGAGAGACGGTGACTGGCCCAGAATCAGCAACTGGTTTTGTGCCCAAGGCAAGATAAGAATTCGGTTTCTCTGGTTCTAGACTGGTGCCTTTGCATTACACCAAATTGGCTTTCTATAGGGATATATAGCTTTTGATAAAATACACATACAAACACTACATGCAAATGTGTTACCTTAGTGAAACAGTGAGGAACCAATGAAGATGGCTCACATAATTTAATACTCCACTAAACAAAATAAATGCTAGTACAATTAAAATCTTGGCATAACATTTTCTGAACAAATTGGAAATTCAGAAAGAAAGCTAGTTAGGAACTTTCTTCCTTCATATGCTAATTTGCTGTCAAGTCTATATCTTCAATCCCTGAACTTCTAGTTGCAGATTATGATAAATTCATATTCTCTATTTTGCTGTACTTTACTGATTCTGGGAAACAAGGATGAAATGTAAAAATAACTTTCTGGTATTTTCAAGATATATCAAGGAAAAGCACAATACTGAACATTTTAACCACTTCAATTCTATCTGATATTGCAGAAAGAAAAAAGATAACATCTAAAAAAAACATTTTTAAAAGATGGGCCTGTATCTGTTCGCTCTTTCAAATTGCAAAAATAGCTTTTTGTACTTTTTATACTTTCAGGGTTTTTTTTTCCATATTAACTTCAAAACCTCTGTATTTTCAAAGTGACAGAAGTTGGCCCAGCTACGGATAATATTGCCTTGGCCAGTACTGACAATTAATGTACAAACAAGGCAGTAGGAAACTTAAAACAAATTATCAGTTAAGCCAAATGAAAATTTGGATGCCACTAGTCAGAAGAATTAAAGAATATTTCAGAGAAGCTCGGATATGGAATATCAGTTACTCAGAAACATAGTGAGAAAGGAATGCTACACTAGATTCAGCATGGATGTTCTTTTTTACAATTGCTTGACTTGCCCCAAAAATGTGAATTTAATTGATGCATGTGTTGTTTTGGAGAAAGAGCTGCTGTTTATACTTGCAGAGAAGGCAGTTTACCGGCTCATCAATTGTTTGTTCAGATAAGATACTATTTCAAAGGGAAACAAAAACATGATGGGCTTACAAGATTTGCTTCAAATAGTGAGGTGGGCAGCAAATAATAATAATAATAATTATCTTAAGGATTGTCCTGTTTAGTGACTATTTGAAGTTACGACAGTGCTGACAAAGTAACATTTATGACTGGTCCTTGCATTTACAACTATTGTAGCATGATTGCCATTTGTGTGCCTTATAACTGGTTCCTGATGAGTAAAATCAATGGAGAAGCTGGCAGTAAAATCACAAGCTGCAGTCACATCATATCCCATTTAACAACTGCAGAAGAAGTGAGATCCTGTCTGTCATGGTAACTGATGTCTCGTTTAATGAACACATCACTTAGCAACCAAGTAGCCACAACTAAAAGAGGACTATCTGTACCTGAAAAGAGGAGGATGCATTGTTGCTGAAGATAAGACATAAAGCTGAGGTCTATCTGGTCATGTTCTGTAGCATCCCCAGTCTGCATGGCATGCTGAGAATTCTGAGAACCAATATCCACATTTCATTATTCCCAGCATCAAGGTTTGGTTTCGCTATGCGTCGTAGCTTCTACATAAAGTTTTACAACCATGTTTGTTTTGCAAATCCAATAAATTCAGGTAGTCCTCAAATTACAACCATAATTAAGCCACAATTTATGTTGCTAAGTGAAACATTTGTTAAGTGAGTTTTGCCCCATTTTGCAGCTTTCCTTGCCTCAGTTGTTAAATGAATCATTGCATTTGTTAAGTTAGTCACATGGTTGTGAAGTGAATCTAGCTTTCCCATTGACTTCGCTTGTCAGAAGGTCGCAAAAGTTGATCACATGACCCCAGGACACTGCGACCATCATAAATATGAACCAGCTGCCAAGCACCTGAATTTTGATCACGTGACGATCATGATGTTACAATGGTCGTAAGTGTGAGAAATGGTCCTAAGTCACTTTTTTCAATGTCGTTATAACTTTGAACGATCACTAAATAAACTGCTGTAAGTTGAGGACTACTTGTAGTAGTTTTTAGTAAATCAAGTTTAATCAAAACATTGTTTATGTGGTGAATCTGGTCAAAGACAGTAATAATAATAATAAAGTTGGAAGGGACCTTGGAAGTCATCTAGTCCAACCCCCTGCTCAGACAGGAAACCTTATATCATTTCAGACAAATGGCTGTCCAGTCTCTTCTTAAAAACTTTCAGTGTTGGAGCATTCACCGCTTCTGGAGGCAGGTCGTTCCACTGGTTAAGTAGTAGTATATGCAAAGATATGTAGCAATGGCAGATTCTTTCAGAGCCCTAAAGATATTATCAGAAATATATAAGATATGTCTTGGTATCATCCCATTTGATTGGATTGTTGATGTGGGAATATAATCAGGACATCGGACACAGATTTTTCTGTTGAAATGGAAGATGAAATATTAGCAATTCCTTCTACAATCCAATTGTCCACTCTACCCTTTTTGTCCTTCTTGTTGTGCATCATCAAATCGTAGTCTCTATTTTTGCAGTAGGGGGATGATAGAGCAAGGGATAGTTCAGGAAGAACAAAAAACAACTATCTTTTATCTCTCAGTAACATATTAAAATAAGTGAAGACACTGCTTTTACTCTCCTCGTCTTTCCTTCTAAGTTAGTGTAAATATAGCTGTTCCATAGCTTATCAGGTGTTGTCTATTTTTTTCCACAAGTTGCCTGCCATCCAGCTCATCTTCTGTTTTGTTTTTGCCTGGTGTGATATAAAATACTTTGTTCCATTACTACATTTACCAAGCCAGGTTTCCTCTTGTCTCTCTTTTTCTTTTCCAGTTTCCATTGCTTTCCCTGGCAGAATGTAGTCTGTTTTTAGACATATGAGTTTGACTTCTAAAATGGATTAAGCATGTTGACAAGATTAAATATGAACCCCACAATCTCTGTTGCAAAGGCATGCAAACTGGTCCTATTATTGTTCCAGATAAATATTAATGTTACAAAAAGGAACTGAATTCATGTCAGTGAACCATATCTACTTATTTGTAAACTGTAATTTCAACTTTTTTGAGGGAGGGAGGGAGAAAGGGTGCACTGGTGAGAACAAATGCTATTATGAAAGCACTTTACCTATGGTTGTCTTTAATATTTCTTTTTGAATTTCAACTCCTAGGATTAAAAACAGCTTGAATTCAACAGAGCTTATATTGCAGTAGATGTGTTCAGTTAAACTCTTTTTTAGAGCTTATTTCATTAAAAAAGGAATAGATAATTCTATTCACTCATTCATCCAAAATGTCTGTGCTCCCATGTTGTTCCATCTACTTCAAGTTATTTTAAAAAGCAATTTCCATTGTCTTTTGCAGCAAAATACTTTCAGCTGTAATCTGACAGTTCAATACTCTAAGCCCCTTTAACTAGCGCCTTCCAGATGTGGGCTGCATCTCTTAACATTTCTAACAATGTGGCAAATAGCCATGCTGACTGAGAATTCCTAGGTTTCAATTACATTATTTCTGGAAGATGACTGGTGGGAAAAAACTGTAACAATGGAAAATCAGTGATACTGATAACAGTGCCATCTGTAATATGAACATCTTCCATCCTAGTATCCACCTTTTTTTTTGGAAAACAATAAAACTGACAACTTCTACGCATATTTACAATAGTATTTAATTTATAAAAAGTGATTAAAGTGACAAAACTTATTTATTTTACTAGGCTCCTCAAGTAGTTCAGAGGTACTGAGAGAGGCACAAAATGAAAATAGTCATGAAATTAACAAGGCTGATTCCATTCTCCTTGTACTTATAAGAGTGGATTTAAGCCTGGATTAAAACCTTGAAGGTGATACTTATATGTAGACAGAGAGGGATTTCTGTGGTTTGTAGTTAACTGAATCTTCTGTGTATCAACAACTTCCTTCTTGATCACAATAGAGCAAGTCATCAAATTTTGCTAAGTCTGTAAAGTTTCTGCCCTTAGCTAGTTACTGAATGTACTGTGTAATTGAGTTTGTGAAAAGTAATACAAATTAACCCAAATGTTATCTTCATTGATACCTGGAACTATCCAATTATTTCAGCAAATATTTTCCAGATGTTGAATTATGCAACCAATACTAATTCTGACAGATAAAGAAGAACAGCAAGAATACAGTGTACTATAATTAGGTAAAGTTTATCTATTTGATTTAATCTGCTTTGGTATTAGAAAGGCAAAATCCTAAAATACATATTCCATGAAACAATATGTGCACTTACTCTCAACCTTTGATGTGCGCTCTTTGTATTTTACTGTTTTATTTGTCTTCTTCTTTCTTACCTTCTTTGGTTTCTCATGATGAGACACATGCTTCTCTTGCGTAGGTGATGCTGACTGACTCCTCCTTCCTCCAATAAAAGAACCACCTCCAAAATGGCGTGAAGTCTTCTGGAGGCAAGTGGGAAATTAGGGAAAGGATTTTGGATCAGATGGACATAGAAGGGAAAAATGAAAGCAAACAAGAAGAACTAACAGACTTCTACAACCAAGCAGTTTGGTTTTATAATTTACAAAACCCTCTTCCTCCTAGATGTTTCCACTATCATTTTATGTCAAGCAAGCTTCAAGCTGGAGATTCTTCATGCTGCCAGAATTCATTTTTGGGACCATAGTTTAATCTTTAAAGAAAAAGATCCAAACTAGCCTATGGTATCTGGTGTAAAAACTGGTCAGCCCTAAAGCTTAATAGAAATGACTCATAGCAACCTTTTTTATCAGGTTCAAAGACAAACAAAAGATCTCTGAAGCAGTTGTTTAATAGTAATCTGCTACTGCTTAAAAAACCAGTAGTGTTGTTTTCAGAGGGAATATTTAATTTTTTCCCTATACCCTCTTGTCCAATATTAATCATATTTTATCAACAATCAAACTACTCCTACTACTGTTGTCTTTTTATCATGTAGGAGAAAACCATAACTTAGGTCAAGAACAGTTGTTAAACACTGTTTATTTCTCTAGGAATACTATTTCCTAATCCTAAACTTCAATTGTTTGTTGAAAGAACATTCTAATTAGAAACCTAGCTCACTGCTTAACATTGGCACATGTAATTACACTGTACTATCCTATAAATACTATGCTGACAATATTGTGCTAGTGTACTATTGACAGTAATGGGGAACAGCATTCTTGAATTTTAGGTATAAAACTGTATAAAACTCTTCAGAGATGCCATTAATGAACATGGGATTTTCTGCTTTATTACTGGGCTATCTAGCTTTCATAATAAAAAATGATAAATTAAATTTAGAAAATTATCTATTAGGAGAATGCAATGGACACCATCAGAGATAGATTCTGAGAAGCAGAATGAAAGAGAAGTTTGTCCTCAAGGACATGATCTACAAATTTTAACCTTCCCAAGCAGGGTGTTTTTCAGATTTGATGGATTATAACTCTCTCAATCTTAACCTGTATTGACTGGAAATGATGGGGTCATAGTCTAACCAACACATATGGAAAATGTTGGTTGGAGATGGCTGAGCTAGCCATTCATCTGCTGAAAACTCAATTGCAAAGTAGGATCTACATAAGAACATAGGAGTAAGTGCTTACATCTATCTTCTGAATGAATAGGGCCTTAATCAGAGGGCTGGAGGTGGTGGTAGGGATTGTGCCATATGCATTTCCTGTCTCAGGAATCAAACTGTCTGGAAGATGCCCTAATAGGAATTTATACCAATGAAGCCTTTGTCCAGGCCTATGAAGACAGTAATTTAATATGATGATATGGAAGCTTTTCTTATAAGTCCTGATAACAACGGAGGCAACCTACTCAGAATCAGCAATATTTTTCCCTTTGTTATTAAGTTCCTTAGGTTCTGTCATCATGGCTTGGAAAGTTAATCCAAGGTTGAGATGAGGCCCCAGTTATGCCCTGGAGTGCTATGCCTCCCTCCCTCCCTGCCTCCCTGCCTTCCTCTCATTCCCTCTCTCCTTCAGGTTGTCCTGAAAACAAGATAAAAAAATCTGTAAAAGCAAATTGTTAATATTAATAATGAAAAATATACCCAAATGCAAACAAACAAAATTCTAAGGTAATATTTGAAACATTACTTCAGAGGATATCCACAATAGTGTACTTGATCATGAGTAATGAAGGGCAGAATATTTCATTTCAAAGAAGATATTTGGGCTATTCAGCATTTTTATCTGGAAATAATGCTTGATTTCCATATATTGACTAAATCTTCCCCAGCTAGCCCAGAGTATTTGTCTCTCCCTGAGACCCCTGTAAGTGAACCAACCGAAGAAGCAAAGCCATTCCAGCATTTGTCTGAACGGATTCTGCGGCAGAGCATCAAATCTACATCTGTCTATAAATGTTTCATTTATCTGCCTAAAGGTAGTCAGCACCTGTCTATACAGAATGCAAGGCAGAACTAAAAGTTGAGACATTCCTTTGGGATAGGAAGCCCACCAAGCATTCAATTTATTTGTACTTGCACTAGAAGCCAGAGGAATCTTCTGTTGTCAGCTATGGAATATTCTTTGGGCAATGAGATCTTGCCAAACGTTATCCTTGAAACATTTAATTTTATAGACATAGGGATTTAATAATTTTCTAGATGTAGATATGACACTAGCATCATGTAGAGAACTCAGCATTAATTTAAAAAAAAATATTTGGGCTCTCGACTGAATAAACTGGAGACATTCCTTTCAACTTTTGGTATGATAAGACAACTGTATTTTTCTTTAAGTATAATGGACAGATTAAATTCCCTTACAAATGTTCAGAGAGGACTGCATGTTCTCCTTTCTTTCTAGTCTGGAAGTTTCATGAGGAATCAAAAAGTAGTATCATATCCCTCATAAGAACAGATTTGGAATAGGCTTTATAGACCATTTAGCTTACAATTCTGATTATGCAAACATAACATGACATCAGATTTTATTTCTAGAGGAAAGCTAATTTCAGGGCAAGAAAAAAAATGGGGGAGAGGAAATTGAGATTAAGAGCAAGCAGACTTCTACATAGTGACTTTGATCCCAACTTTCTTCATATACAAGAATGAACCAAAAATGATGGGACATATATTAGGGAAAGGGAGGTTGTGCTTCCTTGTTTTCTCATGACTTTTTAGTAGTGTTTTAATCTATTTTTTTTATTAAAAAAAACACTTGGAAATCTTGGTATGAAAAGGTTCAGCTAAAGCTTCAGTTGACAGAAATTGCTGTTACTGAGCAGGATTTAATTTCTTATTAATGTGCTGTTTTACCTTTAAAATGCTATTCTAATGTAATTTACCTGATGTAATCCCCATTTTAATAATGAACATGGCAGATACAAGTAAACTAATATAGCTGTATCATTAGGTTTTATTTTGGTCCCTATTTTTTGGGAAATCTTCAGTTAAGCTATGCTATTGAAAACGTTAAAAATAACAGGAAAAGAAGAAACAACAAAATAAAATGCCTAGAGAAGAAGATTCATACTACAGAAAAAAAATGGATTAATGTTACTCCAAAATGGCTGTTAAATGTTAAAATAGTTTTAACATTTAGAAGAATGTTAGTGTTTGTAAATATGTAGAAGAGGAAAAATCTACAAATAATTTGCAAAAAAAAAAAAAAGATACAGCATTCTGTTCCTGTCTATAAATTAGATTATACAATTATCTAGATTTAAGATGACATTTTCATTTAATCTAATAGGTGAGGCTCAATGGAAGAAGCAGACCTTAATGCTGCAGAACGATGAAAATTCCTTCATGTAGGTGAAGGTTGTTTTTAAAAAAAAATTCATCTGATACTTCCAGTACTGCAGGTTTTCAAAACTAAAAATGTATCAGTAAAAAGAATGCATAATTGTAGTCACTGGAAGCAAAACCTCTCTTAAATCACTATCATCTTATTGAAACCAATTGTTTGCCTTCAGTAGCCAGTGTTTTTTAGGATTTTATCTCAGTTAAGACGTTCTGATAAAGATGTATAATCCAAGGTCCAATTCCATACACCATTTCCAACAGTCTTAGATTTATTTTTCAGAACCTATGCAAAAGTTGCCATAGAACTGTTGCTTTTAATGTAACAGAACATGAATAAGATTCAGTATATGTGCTGTAATCATGTCAGTTGTATTTCATGTACTTATAAATTTAATTAAAAGATTAAATAAAGTTTGTTTCTGCACATTTCTTTAACATGCACTTTTTGTTAATAGGGCAGGCTTCAAGATGCCTCTCAAAAATCAAGGGGAGCCCTTGACTTGGAAGAAATTGTACATACCTGTTTTAATATTTGTAATCTCTCTGTCAAACCCACAGACACAAATATGTATCCTCCTACATATTTACCCACATTGGTTTCCTTTCTTGAAACTGACTTTTGAACTTTCTGTGATTTACGCTTCTGATCTTAGAGACCAATAATTTGGAAAGGACCCTAACCCAGGAATAAAGCACGTGCAAAAATCTCCAGACTTATATCCATAGCTTCTGTTAGACCTTGGTAACTATCTACATTTTATTTACGATTATAACAAGAAGTAATGACTCACCATTTTATTGAAATGGTACTTGCAGTAGCCACAGTATTTCACATTATCAACTTCCAAGACTTCTTCTTCACACAAAAGTCCAGCCATTTGAGCACTGAAATATGGAAGTGAACTGATGTAAACTGAGGCCAGGGCATCTCAGTCAAACCAGGTTTTGATTTCCCTAACTCACTAATTCAATTTTCCTTTACATAACTTTAAAGAAGTTATGTAAATAAAAGAAATAATTTACTCCACACACCTTCTCATACCTACCCTAATAACAAAGCCATCAGCCCTGAAATGGTTACAGGGCAAGCTATTAAAAAAAATACATAGATCTCCTTACTCCTCTTCGTAATTGCCAACTCATGTCCTGATTTGTAAATGAACATCTGAGACTTGTGGTACTATTCTTTGTGTAACAACTAATAACATCAGAGAGAAGACAGAAACTATTCAAACTGCCATCTTATAGTATATGTTGGTGGAGTATGTTCTAATGTTTTAACAGAAATAAATTAATTAGCAATAAGGAGATGTATTTGATTTGTTAACAGTTAAATATCCTTTTCTATTCTATTGTTGATGCAAAAAAAAAAAAAAAAGAATATGGCAAACAAAAAAAGATTCATTTTTTTAATTACCCAAATTGCCCTTTGTTCTTAAAGTGGAGCTAATCCACTTTTTCAACAACAAAAAAGTAAAAAAAAAACCCTCTAGAAGGGTTATATACATTTCTGTTGGACCCTGTCCTTTATCAAAAGATTATTAATTTATGCCTTTTTTGTCCTGCAGTCTATTTCTTTGTTGAATAAGAAATCTGTCAGTGAAGTTGGGCTAGGAATTGGGCCTCTCTGGATTATATAAAAAAAGCAAGGACAGGATAAGATTTATGGAAGGGAAATGGAAGGCAAGGGTAAAATGCATATTTCCCCTTTCCTTCCATTATTTTCTCCTTCTTGGTCACTTTCCCAAGTCACGTTTAGGCCAACTAGATGAGAAATGTAGTGCAATAGTGAAACAATCAAGCAGCATTAAATATTCTCCTGCTTTATTCTCTCCCTTAGGAATGCCATTCCTACCCTTTTCCCCATCAGAATTCTTTTTTTTTAAAAAAAAATCCCACTAATTAAAATTTGTGTTTCATATTTGGTGTAAAGGCAAAGGATGTGTTATTTAAAAAGAAAGACTGAAAATTAAATATCCAAAATGGTGGCCATCCCAATTTCAGATTTAAAATAAAAAGGAAATTTGTGATTTTCATTGGGTGAATAACAGGATGTTGGGAGAGTAAGATGGATGGGAAATGGGCATAATCTTTTCCTTCGTTAGAAGTATTCTTTTAAAGATGAGAGGAGGAGAAATAAGCCAAAATGAAAACATACATAAAACTTTTAGGTTTCAGGAAGAAGCTACAATCAATCAGAGGAATTCTTCATCCTTACTAGTTAATAATATTTCATTGATTCATAATAGTGATGGAAGAAACTGAAAGGTTGGGGAACAGAAACTGGGGTGGAAGAAAGTGATTTTGAAATTTATACTTATGGACTCACCAGGTAACATGGAAGGCTTGCCGACAACCATGACGATTGCAAGTCATGCAGGCTCCAGAAGCTGCTTTGCTCTCCCTGCCCTGTTCTTCACAGATGTAACAAGTCTGCAACAAGAACAACAGGATTTCATCTGCTTTTCTAATATGCCTCTCAGTGGAGATCCCAAAATGCAATTTTACGAATGACATTGTTTGGCAATATGTAGTAACTTAGGACAGCGTAGAATAGCCTGGTGCCCTTCAAATATAGGGGCTACAGAATTCATAGTCAATCAGGATGATCTCTGAAAAGAGTCTGAGAACAATACCACATAATATGATTATCAGATAGTAAGATATTTATTATGCTGGAACAGTCTACAGAGGCTTTGGTTCTGCATCTCTGGAGATTTTTAAGAGGCAGGATAGCTACTACTCAAGGATGATTTAATTGGTTTTCTTCTCTGCCTGGGGGGTGGGAACCTTGTGGTTCGTTCCAATTCCATAATTCTATAAGCAAGATGCAGGTGTGTGTGTGTGTGTGTGTGTGTGTGTGTGTGTGAGAGAGAGAGAGAGAGAGAGAGAGAAAGAGAGAGAGAGAGAGAGAGAGAGAAAGAAAATAATATTATTCTAAGCATATGGGAATGGAATCTTGATTGATATCTCCACGTGTGCAAAGGGAAGACTTAAAACTTCCACTTCTACTTTTCAAATTTGTTCTTCCTTATATTTTCTTCATGAAAATATAAAAGAGAAAGAAACACATTTTTTTAAAAAAAACTTGCAATACAGTGGGAAGGCATAACATTTTGTTAAGTTACTTGGTCTTGTCTGGGTTTGGAAGCTAAGCAGAGTTGAGCCTATGAAGTGCTAGAATGGTAAACTATTAGAAACTATTAGATTTGTATTTTGGGAGACTGAGAAGTTGGTAAAAACAACCCAGAAGGAAGCATTGAGAAACCAAGTTTGTTCTATGACCGAGAAAATTCATAGATGTTTCCATAATTGATACCTTAAGGGGAAATCTCTATTCATTCTTACTGACACAGGATTGGGCACCCACACTTAAAAAAAGATAGTAATATAAACAAACTACAGGGAAACTGCATGCTCTAGTATTTAATTTAATATGTGAGCTGGCCCCAAGACTTCAAAAAGAGGTAGGTTAGGTAAGTTGTGATAGATCTCTCCTTTACCTTATTGAAGCGGTCATGGGGCACATACTGGAGGACAATAGGCTCCATAGTGAGAACATTCGCGAACTGCACCTCAGGGATATACAGAGCACAGACAACATGGGCCCAGCCTGGATGCCAGAAGGACAAAAATGATATAGAGAAAATAAGGAACATCAGAAAAAGGCATCAATCAAACCGTAATTGGTTTAGGTATTCTGTGGGGGATCAAGTTTTTATGGCCTGATTTTCACTGAGGCAATAAAATTACATTTTCCAGACCACAAGTGGGACCTTTAATGAACCACTGTTCCTCCAAATTGAGCCAATTATCTCTATAGAGGGAACACAAGATTGGGTTAAAGACTTTTAAGTGTTCTCCCACATGCTAATCATTGGTGCACAGGCTATTTGTTTTCTATGTGGCGAAAAAGATGTAGCCCAAATCTAGTTCAATATATATAATCCTATCAAGGGAGATGATCGGGGCTTTGAATTTGACTATTAGCAGTCCACACCTGGAGACTCAACAAACATAAAGCTTACCAGGTTGTAGTATTTTCTCCCCTTTGTGAGAAGTACTGTATTTCTGTTCAAACACGCGTTCACAGCTATAGAATTACATTGTAATTCTATGATGTTGTAAATGCCTGAACTATAGTTCCAGCCCTGAAGAAGCAATTGACTTGATGATATAAAAACCTGAATGCAAGATTGACATCCTCTTTTTTTTGATAATATAAAAGATTTATTGTCACAGTGAAAATGACATCTTTGTTGATTCCTCTCTCAGAGATTCCAAAGCAGCCATAATTTCTTTTTCATGCTTCCAACTTTCATTTGTTCACAGTTCTAAGGGAGCCTCGATTAGTCTAAAAACTTCCTGGAAAAAAGTGGCATTGGGTGAACCAAAAATATACTCATTATTATTTGTAATGGTGCTCAAGTGAGACATAACTCCTTATGTTCTGAGGATGGAGTAAGGAAGTATTGGTATTGTCATTTCATAATAATGGAGTTGGCAAGCATTTGGAATAACTGCTGCAACAAGCATAAAACTTTTGTTACAGGCATTGCATTGACTGCCAATAGGCTTCCAGGTACAAATCCAAATCGCAGGTTTTGACCAAAAATAATTTAATTCTCAGGTACCTGCAAGATAGTCAACTTCAAGACTGCATCTATCTTATGTGTGTCCTATGTGGATATGCTGAGGGCCTTTCCCCTTGGGAAATTTTGGAGAGAGTGAGAAATGTTTTTCAGGAACCGCATTCACCCTTTGGAAGACCTTTGCCTTAGACAGCTGGACGGAAACTTTGCCTATGAGTTTCAGAAATCTAAAAGAAGTGGAACTATTCTGAATGACTGAAATCCAATCATGGTATGTCTCTTAACAATGACCTTAATAATTCTGCTGAATTTGAATTCCCTTTGCTTATTTTTTTGCCTATTTTTACTTATAGTAATCAAATTTATATGACCATCCGTCTCACAGAAAAGTGACCCTTATTACTCTGCTACCATTTTGATTTTGATTTTAACTTCACATGCCACAGCCTTCTTGATTTGTGGCAGAAGGAAAAGTTGTAAAAAGTAGCTCAAAAGCAAATGTTCCTTGTTTAGACTGAGAAATGGTGTCTGGACTGCTCTGCTATCTTCAAAAGTAAGCTCACCTCCACTATCAGTCCGTTTCAGTGCTCCATCTTTATGAGGACACAGCTCGCATCTCTGTACATTAAAAAAAATAAAATCAAAAAGACCCAAGGTTAGCAGTGATACAGAACTTTCAGAGTTCCAGAAAGTTACAATTCTCATTATTCTTGATCAGATAGAAAAACATCCACAGTTCTTCTTCAGTGCAGCTCTTAGTTCCATAAACGTAAGAAAATTGGATGAAAGTATATTTTAAATCACGTTTTAGAGAAACTTTGCTGGAAATTAAATTCAAATAGATTATAAAAATTAGATACCTACTTAGAAATCAAACAGATTTAAAAATAAAGAATATGAATAAGATATTGCTTGAAAAAATATTATTTTCAGCACTGTGACAGGTAGATCTTCAACCAGGAAGATTATGGATAATTTTTTGCTTTTAGCCATACTCTACTCCTTACTTGCATCACAATGTGCCCCTAAATCTATCTAAACTCAAATACATTCTTAATTTGTTAATTCTGCAATATTTTAATTTGACTCAGTTTAACACAAGGGATCAGTATTAATTAAGCAAGGATTAATGTAAGGCAAATAAATTTACTCTTTGAACTGTTGTTCCAGAATTTCTGTTTCCTTATCCTTTGCCTTGATCTTAGCCACAATGGTTGGTTCTCAGATTGTACATATATGGATCATTTGATCCTTACCTCAAAAGGGGAAAAAATTATATAAAAAGTGACAGGTTTAGATGGAGCCTAACCAGCCTGTATAAACATTGAAAGAAAGGCCAAGCAACAAATGGGAGGTAGATTTTGGGGGGAAGCTTTCATTGAATGATTATTGAGGAATTGGATTTAAGAAATTAGGCCTGTTTCTCACAAGGATGTGCATGTCTTGAGAGGCAGCTGAAAAAAAAAAGAGGAACAAGAGTCAGGGTGTATGGTAGGTGGATTCACATCAAGAAATTTGCAACTGAAAAAACCTTTCCAACCTCTCTGCTCCAGATGATTAGGAAAAAATGTAAACATGAAGGGTGAAACACTCTGCCAGCCAGCCAGCCAGTCAGCTCACCCATCCACTCCTTACTTAAACAAGACTATAAAACTCATCCATAAATCTCCTCACTTTTCCCAGGAGTTGCCTTGCAGTCAATCCAGCTCCCAAGGACAGGAGTCAGTTCATTTATAAAGCAAACAGCTTACTTTGTCTAATGGAGCCAATCATTCCCAAATGGGCTTTGGGAAGACAATGAAGAATAAAAGTTCCTACAATTTTTAAAAGCAGTAGCACCCTGTTAGTACCACCTGATACCACTTGATACTTGGAATATTAAATCCAGTTTTGGTCGCCATAATATAAAAAAAATTGTTGAGGCTCTAGAAAGAGAGCAGAGAAGAGCAACAAAGATGATTAGAGAACTGGAGGCTAAAACATACAAAGAGTAGTTTCAGGAATTGGATATGTCTAGTCTAGTAAAAAGAAGAAGTAGGAGTGACATGATAGCAGTGTTCCAAAATTTGAGGGGTTGCCACAAAGAAGAGGTCAACTTATTCTCCGAAGTACCTGAAGGCAAAACAAGAAGTGATGGATGAAAATTAATCAACTAAGGAGAAATTTCCTGACATTTAGAACAATTAATCAGTGGAATGACTTGCCTCAAGAAGTTGTGAGTGGAGTCACTCTGGAGTTTTTTATGAAGAGATCAGACAACCATTTATCTGAAATGGTATAGGGTTTCCTGCTTGAGCATGGGGTTGGACTAGAAGACTTCCAAGGTCTCTTCCAACTCTGTTAATCTCTAATCTTGAATTTATCACATCTGGAAACTATCGATCTCTGACATTTATGATACAGCTATAGACATTCAGAAGTAAGTAACATTTCCCTAAGCATTCATGCTCATATTCTTACTTCACACATTATGTTACTCAGCTTTAGCCGGCAAAACAGATGCTGTGGAGTGATTCTTCAGCAAAACTACATTTGAACTTAATTCAAGATTCTCTGTGGCTAAGAAACAGTTGGTATTGCCTGAGCATGTAGGATACAAATTGATTGTGCTGATTTGGAAAAGGAGGGTGGGTGATGCTTCAATAGGATTTAGCAAAAATGGATCAAAGTTACTCTATAGTCTGCACTGTCTGGGCTGATGCACTCTGCCCTCTTTTCCTGCTCCTTCTCTGAAAAAAAAAAACCCCAAAACATTGTGAAAACAGAGATAAAGAACCATTTCACAGAGTATTTCTAAGTAAAGTTTGTTTTGTGCAGAAAGCAAAAAATGAATTAAGAAAGCAGAAAATGAATATTATATAAAATAATATATTATTTTTTACAAAATAGTGGGAACACACACAAACATACCATAGTGATTTATAATACAGATAATCTTTATTTAGTGACTCCCACATTTAGCAACAGTTTGCAATTACGATGGTGATGAACAAGTAACATTGCAACCAATCCTCACAGGTCTGTAAAGCAGAGGAGAGGTCAGGTAAAATCATGAGCATAATCATAGTTTCACTTATTGACCCTGAGTTGCTGATCCAATTGTGGTCAGTAAACAAGGACTATCTGTGCTTGTTTTATATAGAATCTAATAACCAGAAGTCACTGCTATAACCCTATGGTGTAATGCAGAATTTTTCAACACAAGAATACTAGAATGCTGAATGAACCTGGATGAAATTTCATGAGAGATTAAGGGCAAATAAATAAATAATATCTCTCAAACACAGCTAATTTTCTCTCAGTAAAGTTCTATTCTTAATCAGGGGTTCCAGGATTTATTTTTAATTAATAAGTTTCATTGCTGAAAAAGTTAAAAATAATGCACTAAATTTATTCTGAAATTATGTTTCTCTTATATAACAAACAGTAAAATACCTTTTTTTATTTAGTTAGCTGACTATTTTTATAAATTAATTTTTTTTAAGTTGTTCCCCATGGCTTTGTTTTACATGGGTTTGTTTTGTAATGCCTTTGATAAAGGATTTAATCTAAAGTAATCTGGCTCATAACATATATACACATTTTCATTAGCACTTGGAGTATTTTCTTTTTCTTGAAGCTTGCATTGTGCAAACATTCAGCTTATTTCATGGAATTTTATTTGTGTGCATATCCAGGGGAGGGGACAAAATCCAAACAATGCTAGTTTCCATTTGTAACCTTGTAGAGGTTCACTTTTTTTTTCTTTTTTCCTTCTTTGTACCACATAAGCTCTATTAATTGAGGAAAGATGAAATAACTGCATAATACATGTTATTTCCCTTAGCTTTGAAAGAGCTTATATTTAACACTTGAGCTTGGTAAAAGATAAAAAAGCTGCATTTAAAATCATTTATAAATGGTACACATTTATACCAATTTATATCAATAATTATACCGATTATTATAAACAAACAAATAAACAAAGCCAGAAAGTCCACATTTTGGATATAGAGAACCTGTGGTTTGAAGGAGGAGTAAAAGAGGCCACTTATGTTAACACTGAACAGCTCTCAGATTCCATCCCCATTTGCACTCTGATATGTGTGACCCTGAGCACGCAACTAAAACCCAAGTGTCCTAAAAAGTTCTTAGGGAGAGTGGTAACGACCAGATGACTATAAAGAAATATCCTTCCAATCCCAACCCCCCCTATCATGTCAGAACTAATCCGTCCATTTCCCCCACCATCCTGCCAGAACTGATGAAACTTCTTGGATGAGAAACAAAACGTCTTCTTCTTCTTCCTCCTCAAAGAAAAAAAAAACAGTCCAGTTGCCTTTTGAAAAAGCATCTTTGGGACAACTATGACCTGGATGACTGAGAATCTCCACAGACTAAATTAACTAATAAATCCCCCAATGGGCATTTATAAGTAACAAATTCCTTAAAATTTAAGTCCATGTGAATAATTCAGAAATAGTAAGAGGCATAGTTTTAAATGAGAATCCAAAAACTTGCAATATGAAACCAACTTGGAACAATGTGAGCAACTTAACTGTCTTGCAATAAACATGAATAATATAATACTATCATTTATATTAATCAACTATTGACTTATCATATATCCAGACTTGCCTTAAAGTCTCTTCAGTTCAGCATTCAATTTTGACAACTTCTGCCTTCTAAATGGCTTTTACTATATAAATGCTGACTATACATGGAAAATTTACAAACATGATTTTTTTTTCTTTAACTTTCATTGAGGAGCATAAAAATATGTATGATTCTAGAGGAAATGAAAGTATTTCAACATAATTAATTCTACACTCAGATCAGGACATAACCTGATTGATTTCTATTGCGTTATTTCAAAAAGGCTGATGCCATATCAGAAGCATCAATTTCTGCACAAGAAAGTGTACAGGATTTTTGCCTTTCAAGTTTTGTTGTAGCTTACATGAAGTAGCAGACTGAATGCTTATTGCTTGAGCCAATATTATGAATTATTTTGCCATAGCTTTCTATGTATTCTTCATACTTAAATAGTTTGGTTCCCTAAGAAATATGACAGATGTTTTCATGTCTGACTACCTTTTACTATGCTTTATTATTGGCTTACTTTACTTTAGTTCTGCATATTGCCACAATTCAGTAAGTGGATTTAATAAAGGCTGTTTGATGTTTGATTTCTTTACTGGAGCAGCAAAACTGGTTTTATAGCTGGCACTTAGAACATTACCAGTAGTGGTGTCTCCCTTGTTGCTATCTAATTTCTACTGTTATTTGAGCTCTTGGAAGTATCTCATTGCACCTAGGAGACTGCAATTTGAGCATTCAAGTAGAAAATTTAGTATAAACATTATCTTTTTCCCTCTTAGAATTATTTCTTCATGACTGTAAATATATATTGCCTTTTGTGGTTTCTATTTTTGCCTTTGAGTATAGATAGTTGCATTTTTAATTGGCAAATTTTAAAGTTTGTTTTAATTCTAATTAATCTTAATATTTATTTTCTCTTTATTTTTAGGAGGAATTTCCTTTGACCTCAATCAAACAGGGGAAATGATACCTCTTAAAAGATTACTGTAAATCAGATTCATCATGCAAGGATACTGATATACCGTACATGTTATTCTTAACTGAAATATACCAGATTGATGAGAAATTGACTCATGTTTCCTTTTTACTTGGTAATAAATACAGATTATTTCCTGAGGAGGAAGATAACAATTTATACCAAACATACAAACACGGAGAACTCCTCAACAACCTCCTTTCTTGTACTTGTAATCTCTCCATTGCCTGAAATGGGTCTACTCCAAGGCAGCTTCTCATTTTTATAAAAAACTTCCATTCTGAACATGCTCATCAATTAGGGAAATACTAGCTACAATAAGCAAAAATTCAGATAGCAGGATTTTTCCCTCAGCTGTTTCTCCTGGAGTAGCTGGGGACAAATTCAACTTATGAATCCACATTGCAAGACTTACTCCACTGGGAAAATATTGTAGATATAATACTTAGAGCATTTCATTTCAATCCTTATAAATGTAAGGAACAATTACACTCATCTAGCTAACAATAAAGAAATGTTCCTAAGGTTCAGAGTTAGATCCATTTTGCATGCTGGTCTAGAGCACTGCATTTCTTTCTAATTATGACATATTTACTTCTATTATCTCTCTTAGTTAGGATTACCAGATACTTCATTCCTTTCTCTATTTACTGCTTCTTCAATTATTTAATTTTACCAGGCAGAAATCTAGTGAATCAAAATAATAACACAACAACAAGCCAGAGCATCTAAGCTCCTCTCCTATTGAGCTCACACAAAAAAAAGCAGATGAGCATCGGTTCTTTCTTCACCTCCTCCTTGCTGCATGGCTACCTATATATTTCTTTATATCCTGAAGTTCTTGGCTTAACTACTTCCACCCTCTTACTCTTTTTCATTACAAAACCCACTTCCTCAGTTAGATAGCAGGACCTCATCAATTTTGGATAATCTTGAAAAATCATGAAAATTTGGATTGGTTAGTACTTGAATGGGAGACCATCAGTTTACTAGACTGTAGAATAGAGTGGAAAACTCAGAAATTATTCTGTAGGAAGGCAAGGTCCCATTACATCTGTACTATTATCTCCATGTACTAAATTATGGATATCGAGTTTGATTCAAAGGAGATTTTAGTTAACAAATGCAGCCCTCCCACAAAACAATCTTTGTCATGTCCCAGCTAGATTACTTCACAATGAACCATCTTTCCTTCCTTCTGTTCTCTGGGTCATCCTGGTTTAGGCAGAACTATCTGACCCAGTGCTTCTCACCTATGGCAACTTTAAAATGTCTGATCTATGCCCAATTTAAAAGTACAGAACCAGGAAGATTGAGAGGAGCAGCTTTGAAGTTGCTGCTGCAACTGTGCCAGAAGCAGACACATACAGGTCCTGTGATCAACGTTCTGCCCAAAATTTAATTTTCTCTGTATTTCAATTATAGTAATTCTATATAAATTTGCCTTTAACATACAAATCAGGATATGCCAATGTTATAGAAACTTAAACCCTTTTTGTTTTGTTTTGTGAAGTTCCACATCTTTTTTCCAAATGTGTAATAAGTATAATATATGCAACTGCCCTATCTTTTTTGCTTCTATACAAGGCTAGGTCTAAAAGCTGTCAAAACTCGCATTTTTCATAACTCCAGGAACAGGAAACGCCTCTCTCCTTTCATAGTCTTGCATTCTCTCTGCGCTGAGTGGCCAAGAAGATCATTGTTTGGTGTTGTGGTCAATGAAGGGATTGCATCTAATGTAATTACACCTTCCCCATTTTGAGGCCAGCACAACTTTTGACCATTCTTGTCAATCACACCATGACAATTTCATTCTCTACACAAAATCCATTCATGTTTTAAATCTGGGGAGGAGAGGAATATCATCAGAAGATTTCTGGCTAGGTATGAGATTTGTCCCCAACTCCAAGCATACTTGGAGTAGCCAACAAAAGACTAAAAGGAACCAGATGAGGTTGCTATTTCAGCAGAAACAAGTTGTAGAAGAATAATTTCTTAATTTAGCCAGTAGATGGCAATGGATTTAATTGTATCTTGAGTACTGTATCATCAAGAGTTTCCTGGGCCTTTTGCTCTTGTTTAACAGAGTAAACCAATTCTTGTTTACTTTACCTTAGTGGCTGGGTTTTTTAAACCATCTGTAGGAAATGTTGCCAATGTACCAATATAATATAAGTAAAAGTGAATAATCATGTCCTTTACGACTTTAAAAATCAAATTCATCTGAAAAAAAATCAACATTTCTTTCCTCCACTCCTGCCTGTCATAGCTACAAGACCAGAGGTGGCCTGAAAAACTGGCAGGTCTAGAACTGAAAAGATTCTTTGGCATATGAAAAATTAAATTATTTCCTAAGAAAAAGAAACTGCTTCCCTTTTTAAATAAATCAAATTAGGTATGCACATTTCCATTAGTAAGATGGTGAATATGACAGAAATGTGGATGTAATTAAAATAAAGGGGCTTTTCAGGGGTATAGAACATGGATAGGAGGTAGATATTTCTATGCCCTCTAAGTAGTGTATTTAGAATTTGACTTACATGAGTGCAGGTGAACTATATAATAATACAAACATCAGCTATAAAAATGTTGCAGAAGTTCTATGTTCAGAAGCTACCAATGCTTCAGATGCAGAATTGTAGGCTTCTGTTTTCATGTTCCATTTCTACACCTTTCACATTTAAGTGGTTAACTATTATTCTGAACCATATAATAACTAGCATAGGCTAACCAAGTTTTATTCTGTTCTTCTGACATGTTTCAATGTATACTCACCACCCTGGCGGCTCTTTCTTGTGATTCACATTTTCGACAGAACCACGGTCCGGTGGGAACTTGAACAATTCCATAGCATGCTAAGAGAAGAAACAAGAAAATTAAAGAATGAAATTTGGGTTGCTATATATTTTTCTTGGTATCCTTGGTAGTTTCCTATTTCAGCCATAAATCTAAGATGGAATACAATCCTGTATTATTCAAGCTCTTAGCAATTTGACTGTCAAAACATGGTTCTTCAGTCTGAACGATTTGTGATCCACCAAGCTAAATAGAGACATCTGGCCATGTACAGTATTCACTCAGTAAGTTTCCTGTTTTTGTGGTTTTCTTAATATCACAAAACAAAAGGTCATCAAGGATCTGGTAGATCACAATTCATGCTGGTGGCTGCATGTAGCTTGCAGCATCATTAATGATATAAATCTGTCATATTGCAACCTCCTTTGAAAAAAATCTCATCACTCCTTTTTTTCTGAGTAGCTTTATATTTAAAGTGTTGCTATAGTATCAAGAATCGGAACTTGTTACAACATCCTTACTGTTGTGTCATTAAAAACAAATTTTATTCATCAGCAAGTTACTACCAAGTCTACCCAAATCTGTAAGTTATTACTAAAATTTAGCAAAGCAGCTTAAATATTAAAGATTAGTCTACTAGAAATTTTGGACATCAAATCCTATAACAGTGATGCAAACCTTTTAGAGACCGAGTGCCCAAACTGCAACCCAAAACCCACTTATGCATTGCCGGGTGCCGGGTGGATATGGCCCATTGAGTGGGCATGGTTGCGGTGGTAACAGCAGACTGGGTGGGACTAAAAAGTTAAATCAATCAATTCCAACTTTGCAAGATCTTTTTTTTCCCCGTGAGAAATTGAAATTGACTGATTGATTGAACCTTTTTTTTTTGCACACGGTGGCGGAGGCCTAAAGCAAAAAGATTTTATAAAACCCAGCTGAAGGCCTAGGACTGCGACTACGGTGTGTGTGCCCACAGAGAGGGCTCTGAGTGCCCCTCTGGCACCCATGCCATAGGTTCGCCACCACTGTCCTATAAACTCATGGGTTCTGAAAACTATAATCCAAAATATTTACAAGATGCCAGATTTGTTGAATGAAAAGTATTAAGTCTAGTAATGGGCCTATTGGCCTGCAGGAAATCAGTGAAGACCTGGTTTTCACACAGGTGTGGGTAGCCTGAAAGTTAATGGGACAGGCATGGTATATTTGACCTATGGATATGACATTTATTGGGGATTCAGTATTGTCTTTTTTACTTTGAGTGGTTTTTAATTATTATGTTTTTATTCTTGTTTGCTGCCTAGAGTTCCTTTTGGTACATGGCCAGTCATATAAATTTTTTAAATAAAAATTAATATTATAATCATAACTACATACAACTTCTGGTTATATAGGCAAAATAATAGTTGCTGTAAATGAAAACAGAATAAAGCATCTTCATTATATGTCTTGCCAGTGAACTTCCCAAAAACATTCAGTTGGTTACACTTATATACAGAATCCTGGCAGAGATGATTTTGGGGGTCAAATACACAAGCATTTTCTATGTTTGGAATAGAAAAGAGAGTAGATAGCAGTCTAATAATCCGTATAAATGCAAATGTAACAAATCTGGTAATCTTTTCCTTTCTATAGTTATCAAAAATTTAACATTAGTGCATAGGTTATATGTCTCAAGGAAATTATGCAAGGGATTCCCAGAGAAAGCCAGGCAAACAACTATAGGAAACAGAAAATGAATAAAAGCACTAAAGCTTTGGCAAACAGAAGAGTCCTGCATTCCTCTTTAGCAAGGAGAGGGGAAAAAGATCCCGATCTCATTAAACATGTTATTAATATTCCTTCCTGTTGAAAGAAACAGATGAAAGTGAGGAAAATCATGAACAGAAGAGAGGAAACAGAACAAAAGGTGCTATTCTAAAAAAAATGTATTGATTGATTGATGAAAATATGGTGCTGTTTTTCCCATGCAAAAAGAAAAAAAGAAAAAAAAAGAAACCAAAGCAACTTACAAAATATAAAAGGCATAAAAATAATAATCACTTTAAAATATCCTAGGGAAGATAAAGACATAAAGATCCAAACTACTATATCAATTAATAAACAGAATGAAGCAAGAGAAGTAAAAATGTTTGTTTAAAGAGACATGATTTCACACTGACAGAGAATAAAAATGATTTTTTTCAGGAGTAACTCCTAAACTGCCAGCTTTCCCAAAAAGCACTCTGCCAAAATTTGTGGTAAGCTATGAACATAGAGTTAATTTTCCACTGATTTTCTAGAATACAGAGATCTAACCAAATCAAGGTTAAGACACTGAACAGGCTTAATAAATTTAAATCCCTTTAGAAATCCTTTCAAAGTGCTGAAATCCCAACTGCATTCATTCAGTGAGATCACTCTATCACTACAATGTGTTGGTCTATTATCACACACATAGGAGTTGTTCCAACTAATTGAAAGGTTTCATCTCTAGATATAAATTATTAGAGCAGATGCTCAATCTATAGGATTCTACCACTCAGAAAAAATTTAGTATTTCTACAATCACCTTCTGAAGAAAAAAATTAGTGTATTTCTACAATCAATTTCTGAAGAAAAAGGCACATATTGTACATCAGAGAAGTCTGTAGCTAAAAATGTTATGTGTATTAATTATGTTGGATCCAGATGCAGCTACCATTAAAGGCCCATACAAATCAGTGCAATTTAAGTCAATCTATTTGAATCTTATTATTTTTAACATATTATTTTAATTTGGATCTAATGGTAAGGAAAAACATGCAATCAATAAAATATCAAATATCAACTCTGCAATTTTCAAATTAGAGAAGGGAAATCAAAATAATTTTAATGCTTCCATATCTTCCTCCTGATTACTATTTAAAACTGTGCTTGTCCAAATAATTGAACACTCTATGGGATGTGCAACTCTATAATAGGAAATTTATGTATCTATTATACTTAATATTCTATATATCAGTAGCAGGCAGCTTATTTTAAGAACATCTGATGTAGTTATTTTTTGTTCTAAATAATAATAATCTTCTATCAAAAATTACTTTGTGATCTGTGCCTTTGACAACTGACATACCTTGTACTACATATATTTATTTTATTGTATATAGGAATAGCCTTGATGTACTTAAAATATGGCCTGAATTAAATTAACAAATCTTGATACAAATAAAAGACCTTTCTTATTTACTTATTTTTTTCCCGCCTCTCTGAAGAAAAAATAGTACTGGGATTAAGCTATAATATGTACATTTGCTTGGTTTGCTCTATTGCTAAAAGTGAGTCAGCAGCGTGATGTACGTGCAAACATAGTTAATGCAATTTCAGGTTGCCTTAATGGAACATGAGTTCTCAGAACAGCATAATGACAGCTTCACATTATTCTGCATTGGTCATATATTTTATCTACTAGGTCCAATTTGAGGCCTTAGAAATTATAAAGGAGATAGATGAACTGGGTTAGTCACCTATGTCCTTTATAATTTAAAGGAAGGGTAATCACAATAGTGGATAGTATGCTAAGGAACAAATTTTAAGGTAACTGGTCTTGTTTAATTTGAAGAAGAGATCCAGAAAACTGAAGACAGGAATATCATAACACTCTTCAAATGTCTGATGGGCAGCAAAACTTGTTCTCTACTACCTCTGAAGAGATAAATTCAATGGACTTAACATTGCAAGGAATATGGATTTTAGTTGATGGTACAACAGTTTGATAAAGTAAGCTTAGAATGGTTGATGGATTCTCCCTTGTTAGATGTCTTTGAAAAGTCATATCTTGAGAATATTCTAGTCTGAATTCCCTCCACTAAGTTGGAGTCACAACAAAATCTTTTACTTTTGTTGTGTTACAGAACAAAATCTCTGATTTTAAGTTAATGCAGAGTTTACAACACAGTTTTTCTCAGAATGTAGAATACTGATATCTTTCTAAGCATCATTTCAAAACAGAATCACCGAAGAGAAAAAGCAATGGAATATACTCTCTTCCCAGCTGTCCATTGAGACTTCTGATGTACACTGAAATAATTCCCTTGCAACTAAACGTTCTTGGTTGCTATGAAGGCAATTGGGATATAATTATTCACATACAGTGCCCATTTGAGCTATAAAAGAGCTTTTCAAATGTAGGTTGAACTTCCTTTAGATATATATACAATATTGGACCTCAACTCTTTTGATGTGATTTAAATAACTTTTGTTTCTTTTCTTTTGTCAAAAATGTTCCAAAGCATTCTTCTGAAATACTGACTGAATTAAAAATACATGAATCCCCCACTCCTATTCCCATTCCATGTTTGCAAACCAGAAAGTTAATATTTGGTCAGGCAATATTTGAAGCTTCACTAAGTTCTTTTCAACAGTTTATATGTGTAAGAAATACTATGCTGCTTTCTTATCGAAAGTCTGCAGTGGATCTATTCTATTTCTGTCATATTTATATTTAAGAGATGCCAAACTAGTCCAGAGGCCAGTTGAAAATGCCAGCAATTCTAAAAGATAGCAAAGTTGGTCAATTGCCAGGGTTCTAAATCCAGCCCACTCTTTTAACAGTGCAATCATCTCCACTTTGTATTGAAAAAATATTGAAAAGAGTAAAAATAATAATAAAGTTGGAAGGGACCTTGGAGGTCATCTTGTCCAACCTTGCTCAGGCAGGAAACCCTATACCATTTCAGAGAAATGGCTGTCCAATCTCTTCAAAAAAACATTCACAACTTCTGGAGGCAGGTTGTTCCACTGCTTAAAAATTTTTTGGGAATATCTCATCATTCTCACGTTAAAGGAGGACATTAGGATCTTGATTATGACCACAAAGTCATGGTCCCAAAGTTATAATTAATACAGAAGCATTCACAAAAGATGTGCTTTGTGGGAGCTTACTAGATCAAACTGATCTGAAACACTGCAAGAAATGGTTATACATGGCAGAAATTTAAGGCAATAAAATTGGTACCAGTGAACTTTTTAGATCAGTTTTCAAAGTGGAGCACTTGGCTGTGCCCATTATACTCTAGCCACAACAATTCAACTGACT